CAGAGATGGTGTTGTTGACAGTCTCCTTGGCAGAGATGGTGTCCTTGGTGGTCTCCTTGGCAGAGATGGTGTCCTTGGTGGTCTCCTTGACAAAGATGGTCTTGTTGATGGTCTCTTTGATGCTGTCATTGATATTCTGATTGGCAAAGATGGTCTCCTTGGCAAAGATGGTCTCGTTGGCAATCTTCTTGGTGGAAACAGTGGAGATCTCACAGGGTAAGTGAGCGTGGGAGACGGGTGTCCCTGAACAGCCCTCGGTGCATTGGGGCCACGCTGGGGAAAGGAGGGTCTGGTTCGGAGCCTGATGTCTGAACACACGGGGCCCTCTCTTTCCACTCCTGGGGCAGGTTCATAAATGAGGGTTCAGCTGTTGGGAGTTTCTTGTGTGTGCTTGCCATGGAAGCGTGCCTTGTATGTGCCACAAGTTGCTCCTGGGTGGTAGGGATGCCTGCTGACGCAGAGCAGAGAGGACCCCAAGACCATGGCTCTGCAGTCACCTATAGCACTGGGGGCTGAGGGGACAGGGCATCCGCTGTACAAATGTGCTACTTACCGTCTTTTCCTTGTTTCAACCATCCAGGGCAAAAATTGTAAACAACACCCTCCCCAAAATAAGTCTGCGCTCCCTGCCAGGCTTTGGGCACCAGGTGGGCTTCAACACCCAGCTGCTGGTCGAGAGCACCAGGTACAGCGTGTCCATCAGGGGCATGGCTCAGGGCCAGGGGGTCACCATCTCTTCGGAAAGTAGATAGCCAGCAAATTTCCTGAGCCACGTGTTGTGTTTCCCCCTGTGCAGTGCACTGGGCAGGGCGCTCTGCGTGCAGGTGGAAGCAGATGTCATCATGCTCATCCAGGACAAGCGGGCGGCTCTCCAGGACAATAAAGACTGCAAGACTTTTGACATAAACATCCGTGTGAGGTAGGCAACAGTGTGAGATAGCACCCATGTGAGCTTGGCACCCACGTGAGCCGGGTGCTCATGGCCAGCACGTGGCCCCTGCGGCAGTGGGAAACCTTGGTGCTGTTGGCCATTGAAGGCAGTGCTTTTGTGCCTGACGCCTTGGAGACTGAACTACCCGGCTGCCGACCTTGGAGGGGAACTGCTGACCTTTCTTTTAAAATTTGGGCTCAAGAAAGAATATTTCTGGGTTGTGCTGGGAACCTAGCACGGGGCCAGATTCAGAGGGCTGGGTTTTGGTAATATTTTGGCACTGAATATGGGCCTGGAGAGTGCAAGTGAGGCCTCATTATTTCTCGTGTGAAGTACTTTTATTTTCTAGCCATTAATCTACGTCACTTTTTATTTCCTATTTTCCTGTTACCCAGACCCAAAGTGCCACTTCTGGATCAGCCTTTGAAACGCCTCCTTAGTGATGTCCTGCGTGAGGCGGTAAGTCTGCTAAGCGATCTTCATGCGAGCCATCAGCACGGTGCTGGGCGGGCGGGCAGGCAGCACAAGTAGGCAGCGCGGGCAGAGCGGGCAGCGGGCCAGGCCGCCCCCGCGGACGCAGCTGTTTGCACAGCTGTGGGCTCGGCCAGGTTGGCCAGCCCGTCCTCCCCGCCAGCGGGCACCGGCACCTCGTCGGCACCCTCGCCTGTGCCAGGCTCCGCCGGCAAACAGTTTTCCGAGACGCGCGCTCGTTTAGCGGTCACAGTGAGTAAGTCTTGCCTGGGAGGTTAAACCCACCCTGGCTTAGAGGGGCCGCTTGCCTGCCTGATGCTGAGCGCTGCAGTAACGGGGTGTCCCACCAAAGCCTGCCCGGCAGCGGCTCCTGCCCGCGCTGTGCAACCCCAGCAGAGCCAGGGAAGGGCTTTATCAGTCTTAACTAGTCATGTGAATGCAGTGCACATCCACTGGTGCTGCGGGTCCCAGGACTCTAACATTCCCCTGCCTCCCCAGGGGTGCGACATTGTCAACACCAGGCTCAACGTGGTGAGCACTCTGCTCGGCTCCAGGACCTGTAAGTGCTGGCGCCCTCCTTTTCCTCTGCTCCTGTGTGACCCCCTGCACTTAGGGTTGGTTGGTTTTTTTACATTGGGTAAATAGAAATATTTTAACAACTTCCTAAAAACACAACTCTCAGCTCAAGCACAACATTCAATTTCCCTTGCCCCAGAGCAGCAGCAGACAATTTTTCCTGCAGAAAGCCACTTCAAGAACTGTTGCTTTTAGAAACAACATTTTTGCTGCAAAATAGTGCTTTCTAGCAACTTGTCCACCTGGGAACGCTGTGAGCAGGAGTCACCGTTGGTTCTGATATCTCCTGGGACACGGGATTTGGGAGCTTCCCCCTCTCATTGCAGCTTAAAAGCTTTCCTCCCTGTGTCCCACAGCCGCGCTCCCGCTTGGGGCTCTGGGAGATCTGCCCCCCTTTTCCATCATCAGTGGTGACGCTATCCAGCTGGATCTAAACGTAAGTGCCACCGCTTCCCCTGGCCCAAAAGCCTTTGACTTAGTGAGTTTGGGTAATTCATCTGAATGTGGTGGCTATTTGTCAAAGGCCCCTCTTATTCCAGTTGTCTTCAGGAAAGCATTCACTGGAAGGTACTGAGTGTGGTTCGGCCATGTCTGTGCTAGTGCCACCACTGGGTCTCTACCTTATTTTTTTACTTGCTAATCCTTGAGGGTAGCATGAGCCAGATTGGTTTGACACTGCTTAACTAAGCATAATTATAGCACTCTCATAGTTGTTAATCAGGAAAGCTTAATTTCATACAGGATCAGTGGTCAGTGTTCACAAGCAGGTTCCATTTATAAGTGGCTTGTAAAAGTTTGGTATGTAATTAATAGGGATCATGATCAGGTCAAAAATATTGGCAATGTGTCTTTCTGATCGGGAGACATGATGGTATTTTAAAGGGAAAGCTGTAGCAGATGCAGCCTTTGCCTGTGCTAGGACAGTCTGAAGCAGCCATATGTTTATTAAAGCATCAATTAACCCTGCGTGAGCCTCTCCGTGAGGTCCGTGGGTGGGCAGGGTGCCCGGTGCGACCGCAGCCCTCCGAGTCCCGCCAGTGTCCCTCCCCTGCTCTGCCCCCTGCAGCTCCTCGTCGGGGATGCGGAGGGCAGTGTGGACGCGTCCACGCAGGGACCGCCGCTCGCTGCCACCCTGCTGCTGGCCACCGGCCGCCCACCACAGCTCAGCCTCTCCCAGCGCGCCCTCGGCATCCTGCTGGAGACAGCCCAGGGGCAGGGAGCCTTCAACCTCAGCATCACCAACTCGATGGTGGGTCGCGACGCCCCTCTCCAGGGCCAGGTCGGGGTCCTGGTCGCTCTTCGGTGACCCAAGGGTGCTCGCCGCCACGTGCTTGTATTCGTTTGTGGGGTCCAGCCGAGCCCAGTGTGGGCTTTGCACAAACCCTCCCGGCCGCCGACACTGCTGGTGCTGTTCCTGCAGGTGCCCAATAGCATCTCGCTGTCCACGGCTGCCCTTCTCCCGCTCATCCCCCAGGTCAGCCGCCTCCTTCGTGTGCACTGATCTCCAACCCCACCACCTGCCCCGGCCACGCAAAGACCCCCTTGCCCTGACCTCCCCCTGCCCCGTACAGCTCGCCAAGATCTTCCCCGGCTCTCTGCCGCTGGAGCTGCGCGTGCGGGTGGCCAACGAGCCAGTGGTGGCCATGAAAGGCAGAAGAGCCACTGCCACCCTCAAAGCCTCCATCGATGTCTTCAGTCCCCCCCTGAAGTCCTCCCAGAAGCTCCTCTTCTCCCTCGACACGGTGAGTGTGCTCCCAGTGAACAAAACCTCCGAAACAGGGCGAGGGGTGAGTCTGGCTGTTCTCTGGCATCCCCTCAGCTTGTCCTGCCCTTAGCTGTGCAGTGCTTGTCCTTTTGAATTCAGTACATCTTAAAAGCAGTGGTGCCCAGTCCTTTTAAAACGCTCGTAACCAAGTGCAAGTCAAATGTTTAAGGAATAATTAAAAATAAAGACAGGAAGTGTGAACCCTGGTGAGAGAGATACATGATGCCATCCATCAAAAAAAAGTAATTTCTAGGCAAAGACAGGTGTTTTTTCTTGGAATGGGTTATTTACAAATACTCTGGGTTTTCTTTTCAGTCTTGGGAGCTACGCAGGGAAATAAACTAATTTCTTCTGTTGTTCCAATTTCAGGACATCGTTCTGAACGTCATCCCATCGGTCTCTGATGGTAAACTGCAGACCTCTCTGACTCTCGACAGGTAGAGCCGAGCTTTGCGGTCGCTGCGGGCAGGGAGGGGGCTCTGCCTGGGGATGCTCCCAGCAGCCCCACAAGATAGGGCTGGTGGTAGCGATCGGGGCGTGCGATGTAGATGTGGTAGAGACATAAAGGGCTGCTTGAGCTTTCCTGCCTTCTCCCAGCCCCAGCCTCAGACCAAGTGCATGTCTGAAGTGATGAGAGAGTTGTAAAAAAGTTGCCCTATTTTCAAAATCCTTGTATCTTTATGTGGGTGAGACAAATTCTGGACCAAGAAAGGGTCTGAGCAGCATTTGGAAAACTGGAGGAGGGCTGCACCCGATGCACCCCGACTCTGCCTTGTTTTTATCTTCTGTAGCATCAACATGACACAGACACCCCTGGGACTCAACCCTCTCAGTGTAAGTGCACATTGCTTTGGATCGAGGCGCTGCAGCGAGCAATGTGGTGGCCAAAGGCTCTGTGTAGGGAAGGAGAACCAAAATGCCAATTCTTCTTCAGTCTTCATGTTTCTTCTTCTCTTGGCAGAGGCCAATTGTTGTCCTCCCTGTCGATCCCCTATGCCCTATAGCAGTGACACTTTGATGTGTATGTTCACTTGTTGGCATCGCACTGGGGGTGCTGGGAAGGAGGGAGGAATAATTAAGAAGAAATTACCCAAAGACCATGTCCCTGTGTATTCCCCCACCCTCAGTCCTGGAAGAGTTTCATGAAGGAAGCTTCCCAGACTTTGTGTTTCATAGTTCTGAGCATCCTGCAGTGACAGAACTTAATTGATAAGCCTGACATTGCTGTTTTCATTCCAATAACCATTGCTCTCTTCTTCTGACACTGACACGTCTTCTTCCCCTGCAGGTCTCCCAGCTTGTAGGATGGCTCAAGCAAGTCCTTGAGGCTGCATACGTACCTGCCATTAATGGTACGGCCGGGGTCTGGGTCCCCTCTTCTCTCAAACTCAACTGGATTTAGGGCTCTCCCCCTTCCCTCGCTGCCTGCGTTTGGGGTTTCCCCCCATGATGAGATGCTTTCACTTGCTTTTGCAGATGCCTTGCACGTGTCGGTCCCTCTGCCCAACATTCTCAACACCAGCCTCAGGAATGCCAACATTGACATCACCGACGTAAGGATCACATTTCCCACAGCGCTGCTTTCCTGGGGAGCCAGGGGATGAGACCCACACCACCCCGGCCAGCCCATCTCCCGTGGGCTGCTCCCAGTTTCCAGGAGGTCCCTCTGCCTGCATGGACCCACAGGAAAACATCACCTGGGATATAGGGAAAAGCTGGTGAAAGTCTGAATGAGAAAACTGAATAGTTTTTGTGCTGCTTCTTCCAGGCAGACGACTCTCCTGACCAGACCAGTCTAAAAAGATCCTGCTCAGGAGGATCCTAAACCCTGCTCGCCATCTGAGGCAGGGAACGCGCCGCAAGTCCCAGAGCCCTGCTCGTCTCTGCTGTCTCCGTCTTCATTTTCCCTTGAGCACTGCCCTGTGTTATCGCCGTGGCCCGAGGGGGACAAGCAACTGTCTCTGGTCGGCCGGTCCTGGCGTAGCCTGGCATCGGTGTAGGGAAAGCTGCTCAGCTGGTGGATGTTAGGGAGGATTTTCTGTGGCCAGTTTTAACATCCATGGTTGAGAAGCAGAGCTCTTCTTCAGGCATAAGGTTGCTCTCCTATTCCTCTTTCAATAAAATCTTTCACTGCCTCAGTATTTCTCTCTCTAAATGTTTATTTGCTGTGGGTTTCTGGCTGTGCCCCTATGCCATATGGCCCATGGACAGGCAGTGCAGCTCGAAGAGGAGGTTGTACCTATAAGGAACAAGCCACTACCTTACAGAAAGTGTTTTTGAAGGTCAGCCTCACACGGGAGCTGGGGTTTGGTGCACGTGGGTGCCCTGCTGCAGCCCATCACCCTGCCTGGCTGGAGCAGCACTGGGTGCTGCTCGTGCCAGACTGATGGGGAGCAGAGGAGGTGTTCGCAATGCAACGACGGTGCAGATTTAGCAAAGTGCTTGCTGATATTTCCGACTCATTTGAAGGCCTCATCGCAGCGGCTGCGGGGGGAACAGCTCCTTGCCGGGGGGCTCGTTTGCACCATGTCCCACATGGAGCCCAGCAGTGCTTGCTGTGCAAGGCTCTGTATGGAGCCAGGCACAGATAAACAGCTTACACCTCCGTACTGCTTTGTCTAGGAGCATATTATCCCCTTATTGTGTAAGATGCACTGGGTTGTTAGCAGCACATTTTATCTCACAAAGCTATTAAGTGTTGAGAACACGAGTACAAAAGCACCCTTATGGTCTGGAGCTGACGTGGATCAGCATGTCCCACCGCACAGGGGCTTTTCCAAGGCTGCAGAAATACTGTCTGCCGGGAAGCGGCTGGTGGCTGCGGGGACGGGTGGGATGATCCTCAGGAACTGCTCCTAGGATTGAGCACTAAAGGAGATAAAAATCTCCCAACGCTTTTCTGGAGCCTCACTGGAAACTTGAAAAATTACCCCGATACAGTCATTTGTGTGTGACAGCCTGAGTGCAAGTGTTAGTGGGGATTTGCCTGGAATAAGCTGATCTTCCAGCACGGCTCTTTTGAGGTCAGCAGCAGCTTCACGTGCTGCGGTCCGCAGAGTCTCAGGCTCCTTCTCCTTTGCATTAGCTCTGGGCTCTTGGGTAACAGCGCTGGCTGATAACCGGGCATCCAATAACCTGTTGCTCAATGCTTTTCCCTGTTTTACAAATCTTCATTTGTGTTGGAATATATTAAAACCACAAATGATGCTTTATACACTCGATCCACTATCCCAGCTTTTACAATTTAGGCATCTTTCCACTTTTTCCACATCAGCTTCACTATATAAGGACCCACTGTTCCTACTTGTTAAAGCAGAGGTGCCTTTGGACAGCTGTAAGGTCTCCTCTTGACCAAGAGCCGAGCACTGAAGACCAAAGCCAGGCTTTGAAATTTGGGATAAGACCAGGTAAATATGGTCAAAATAGTGGTGCGGGGTGTTGTAAGTTTGGGGGGACAGAGCCACCATTTCACCTATGGGCCTTACAATATACTCTGGTGAGCAAGAAAAAAAACATGGGAAAAATACCAATAATGGTAGAAATGCAAGTAGGTAATTCTAGTTTATATTTAGTGAGTAGCCTGAAAAAATCAGAAAAGAAGGTTGCTATAGTAAAATGAAAACACTTCTCACACTTCTGTGAGGAAAAAAACATTCATTTGACACAAAACTTAGGGATTTTTTTGTGTTGCAATATCCTCTTAAGGTTATTATTTTTATTGTTATAAGGTTAAAACATGCCATTTTAAAAAGAAAGGCTTTATTCCAAATGTGAGTTGCTTGTATAATTGCAGCATTAATTTGCATGCCCACTCACAGGGCAGTTGTTAGCGAGGGGAGCTCAGTGCAGTCTATAGGTTATGAGTAATGATTTCATACTGTAAGTTTAAAACTATGTCACGGCGACCGGGGATGGAAAGGGGCAGGTTGCCCGGGGTGCCCATAAATAGGAATAAGCAAACAGGTGCTGGGGTTGTGCAGAAGCTGGCTGGAAAAAGTCCCTGCAGATGTGCGTACGGACACCCTCCTTCTTCACCCCCTTTTGTGTGTGTCCAGATCTATTTGCCAAATGTGGCTCTAACTCGTGAAGAGTTTTGGTCCTCCTAAAGCTCACGTTTTCTATTAACTGAAAAATTTTCACACAGCTCGAAATATCCAACTCCATTTTGTCTCCAGGGGGTCACCCAGCCTATTCTCACTCTTTTCCCATTGTCCTTCCCCAGGTCCTGCCAGCACCCACAGCGCTCCCAGCCGAGCAGAAGACACCATGCCACCGGCTCTGGGCATTGCCCTCTTGTATGCCCTGCTGACCCCATCACTAAGCGAGCAAAAAGATGCCGTCCTCAGGCTCAATAAAGATGTTTTAAGTGATGGTGAGTCACTCTGCCTCCTCCTAGTGGGACCCTGGGAAACAGGAACCAACGGTGGTCCTTGAGGGTTGATGCCGTGGTACCAGCACAGCCTGATCAGCCAGGGAAGGGAGGGGAATTGCTCATGGAAGGGGAAGAGTATGAGGCTTGTGTGCAAACCTCCCCCTCCAAACTGACCCTGGAGTCATTTTTTTGTAATTAAAATTTCAACTGGCCAGGCTCCTAAAAGGAGAGAGACATTGCTCGTGTTGGGGATTGCTCCTCCTGGGAGCCTGCACCTCTCAGGAGGTGTGAGCCATTGCCCAGGAGGTACAAGCCACATGGCACCTCAACTATCTCACATTTAGGCTTTATCAGTGCCCAACCCCTGTGACTGTGCCACACCGTTTGCTGTCTTACTGGTGCAGCTGCAGACAAATTCCCCTGAGCTTCTTTACAGAGGTCTTAACATGGTGCCTCCTGTCCTGGATCCCAAAGCCCTTTTTCCGTTGCATCATATATGGGAAAAACTGACAGCAGATAGTTAGGGACTGGGGTAGGCAGCGATGGTAATGGAGAGCACAAACCCCTCAACAACCCATGCTTGAGGAGCACAATGAGTAAAGGTGCGGGCAGGAGGCTGGCAGCTGCCTGCCGGTCCCTGCACAGAGGCTGCAGCGGTGGCCGGGGAGGCAGCTCTGCCTCGCAGGCTGATGGCGGGCGATGTTTCCAGCTCTTACAGGCTCGCTCAGGCAAGGCAACGCCCTCCAAGGTGGCCTCGGAGAGGTGCCGCTCGGCAGCGGACGTCCCAGCACAGATGAAAGTGGGGACCTGTTGCGTGGCCTCGGAGGAGGTCTCCTTGGTGGTGGTGGTGGTCTGCTTGGTGGTATTACTGGTGGTTTGCTGGGTGGCAGAGGGCTGCTGGGGGGGCTGACTGGTGGTCTGCTTGGTGGAGGGGGCGATGCTGGTGGTGGCTTGCTGGGTGGAGGGGCTGGTGGAAGTGCTTATGGGGGGAGCCCCAGAAACCCTGCCAGAGGCTGGCTGGCACCTGGTGGCGATGTCCCCAGGGGAGACATCCCCACAGGGGTTGCTGGAGGAGCGTTGGGACAAGGAGGTCTGCTCGGTGACGGAGGTCTCCTCAGCACAGCAGGGATCCTCGGTGGCTCCAGTGGCTTTCTTGGCAGAGGAGGGCTTCTGGGCAACGGAGGGCTGCTGGGAGGCGGCGGCCTGCTCGACGTCCTCGGGGAAGGCGGCTTGCTCAGCACGGTCCAGGGGCTCACCGGGTAAGGACAGCACCGTCCGGGCTCCTTGCAGGGGGGCAACCTCAGATCTGTTTTGGGGGGGGGGAGCAATGGTGATGCTTCAGTAGATGCTCAGACCTCGTTTGGAGCTGATGCTTTGAGATAAATGCTGCTTGGAAGTCCCACCAGGTTTGCATTGCTGGCTGCTACACAAGGAAAGTTAAAGGAAACAGTAGTTGAAAGGCACTTGTCCGCAGAGGGTCCACAGAACCACACGTTGGCCCTGCGGAGCTGGTGCCACCACTGCCAAAGCAATGCTCACTTGTTTGCAACCGTCCCATTTTAACTCTTATTTTAAGCCCAGCACCAAGCAGAAGCAGAAGCACAAGCAATAATAAGGCAACTAGAACAAAGCTTCTGATAAGACTGGAAAATAACTAAACCAGGAAAATAACTGAGAAAACTTGGTGTATTTTGCCATTTCTGGCCTAAATGGCCTCTGACTTGCCCACCCCTTGAGCAGTGGCTTTGTGTGAGCGGCACAGCCCAGGTGGTGGGGTGCTGGGCTCAGAGCCATCACTCGCGGTGTCTCCCTCGTTGTCCCTGCAGGCTGAGGATCGTGGAGCTGACGCTCCCCAGGGTGTCCCTGCGGCTCCTGCCTGGCATCGGTGTCCACCTCAACCTCTACACACGGGTGGCCCTCAATGCCAAGAGGTAGGTCGGGCTGGTGCTGGTGGCAGTGCCACCCGTGCCCCCGGACCCGGTGGAAGCACCACCACAAGGGGTGTCTCTGGGAGGACACACTGCTCCTGTTTGCTGGGACGTGGCTGCTCCACTGAAGGTCACTCCTTTCCCCTTGCACAGCCTCCTGGGTTTGCTCGACATTGCAGTGGAAGTGAACATCACGTCAAGGGTCAGGCTAACCATGGACGGCACAGGCTACCCCAAACTGGTGACAGAAAGATGCGATACCCTCCTTGGTGGCATTAAAGTCAGACTCCTGAGAGGGTGAGTGATGGAGGTGTCCTCCTCTGCTGGCATGAGCCACCTCTCCACTGGGCTTTGCTGGCCCCCAGCCCCTGCCCGCAGAACAGCAAATGCACGAGGGCACTTCCCATTGCGTGTCTGAGTCCCATGGGTGACACCTCTCCACTGGGCTTTGCTGGCCCCCAGCCCCTGCCCGCAGAACAGCAAATGCACGAGGGCACTTCCCATTGCGTGTCTGAGTCCCATGGCCTGCAGGTGACAGTCACTCACCGGCCCTGTCATGGGGCTGAGCAAAGGGCTGCTGGTGGCGGTGGTCCCTGTGTGCCCCTCATGCAGCTGCAGCAAATGGACATGTTGTCCTAGAGGACTGCACGACCCCGCAGCAGTCCCGGAGGGACATTTCTGTCCCATGTGCTGCATTCATGGGTCATTTTAACTGACATTGCACGGGGTCTTCTAAGACGTAAGCACATGATACATAAATCATAGAAACCACCTGGGCTGAGGTTGTTTCTGCTCATTTAAGGAGACTATACACTATTAGATAAAAGGCAGCAATAAATTTCCCGCTGATTATTTTGGGATGCAAATTACACTTATCTTGCAAAATCCAAGCATACACCATGCACTTTGCTGCTGCAATTGCCTTGCTCCGGGAGGTCTGTGCTCCGCACTATTCACAGGGAATTGTTTAACAAGACCCATTTACTTTGCAGCAGGTTTTTTTATGGTGCTCCTTTATTTTTCCACAGCCTGCTCCCAGTTGTGGATAATTTATTGGCAAGTGCCCTGAGCAGACTTCTTCCTAATCTGGTAAGTTGGAAAAAACCTCCACCCTGGAAAGGAGCAATGAGTCCGAAAAGCTGCAGTGCAGCTCCCTGCGGCATCGCTCCTGTCCCAGGGCGGGAGCACGGCCATTGTGCCAGGGCTGCTGCATCCACCTGCCCACCCAGTGGTTTGGGATTAGCAGGGGACGTGCCATATCTCCATCTGCTTGGAAGAAGCTGCTCCCTCCTTCCAAATGCAAGGTCAACAAGCCTGGCGCGGGTCTGCCCAAGTGCCTGGGAGTTTCTAACGATGCTCTGGACTGTGTTATGGGCTAACTGAATCTCTCCTCCCTCCTGAAAGCCCCAGGGTGTCCCCAGCCATCCCACATGGGCTCCTGGGACCCAGTCCTAACCCCACTTGTCTGACGAAGGGCAAGGTGCGCAGGGCCAGATCCAGAACTGGTGCAGCCTCAGCACCGTGGAGTCACCAGCAGGGACTGCCATCCCATGCGCCCAGTGCTCCTGTTCCCTGGAAAGCGCGGCAGAGCCGAGCTGGGCTGCGTGTCCTTGCCCGGCTCTGAACACGGGTTACTCACCGTCCCTCCCCGACTCTTGCAGCTCTGCCCGGTGGTCGACGTTGCCCTGGGACTCGTCAACGACCAGCTGGGTCTTGTGAACTGTAAGTACTTGGTGGGTCCCACGCCTTTCCCTGCCTTCCCCCTCGTGCCACCTCCACTCTGGCCATGTGAGGACTGTGACACTATCCCCCCTGCTGCACCCCAGGCAGGAAGAGCAAACCCCCCCGCTTCACCCCACAGACCCCAGGTCTGCCCCGAGCAGGGAGCGGGGACCCCCGGCAGCTCGCTGCCCAGAACCTGTCACCCCCGGGCAGCAGCCAGGGAGCAGTGTCCCAGCACGCCCGGAGGGATGCTGTCCCCTCCCCACATCTCCCCTTTCTCCATCTCTAATCACGGACAGAAGGACCCCTGGGTGCATAAGGGTGGCATCAACGGGGTGAGCTGTGAGCTGTCCCCTCCATTTGCAGCAGTGGCACGCACTGCTCATTAGGGAAACGACACCTCCTGTGGCATTACCGCTCAGCACAGAGCACTTGGAGCCGGGGCCAAGTGGCTGCCCTGAGTCCACCTGCGAGCCAGGGCTCTTCTGGAAAAAAAACCCCGCTGCCGAGCAGAGGAGGGGGTATTTGCACCTGAGCCCAGCGGGGAATCGCTGAGTCCCTCCCTCTCCCCCCAGCACTGGTGCCCCTGGGCTTGCTGGGCAGTATCCAGTACACCGTGTCCAGCCTTCCCCTGGTAACCGGCCAGTTCCTCGAGGTAGACTTGAATGTAAGTCCTGCATCTTCTCCTTCCATCTACGTACAAGGGTTGTGCTGTTTCACTTGAGTTTGGGAAAGTCTCCTTGGGCTGTCCCTGGGGCCACCTACACCTGAGCAGCGGGCTCTGAGGTTGCTGTGAAAAGGTTGGGGAGGTCCCGGCTCGGTGCCCTGCTCTTGCTGCTGCCGCCGTCACGGGAGAGCGCAGTGGGGTTTGCATTTCATGAACTTCTGGAGAAGGAAGTGTCACAGGGCCTGACTTGGCGTGGTCGTGCGTGCAGCGATTTCACACTGAAGGAACATGAAGTTAACCGTAAAGGCAAATATTGCAAACATTTTGGCCTGTGCTTCCTTCCCCTGTAACTCCAGACTGTCGTCGGGCGAGTGGCAGGAGGCCTGGTGGACTATCCCCTGGGAAAGGCAGAAGCTGTCCCCACACCACCACGGGTCCCCATGCCACCCCTGCCACCGATGGTGGACACCAGTTCCTCCCAGCTGGGCCTCTCTGTGAACTTCCTCAGCTCGGTGCTGTCTGTCCTGCAGAAGGAGGGTGCCCTGGACCTGGACATCTCCACTGGCATGGTGAGCAGGGAGTACTGCCCAGCTCTGGGTTTGGAAGGACTCAGGGTTGTCAGCCATGCAAACTGGTCCCACCGTGCAATGCCTTAGCACCTCTGTACCATTTAGCAGGGTCTCTGCTAGCTTAGGCGAAAAATGTGAGTGAGAGACCATGTGGTAAAAGCCAAAATATGTGAGTGAGAGACCATGTGGTAAAAGCCCAGGCATGTTAGTGAGAGACCATGTGGTAAAAGCCAAAATATGTGAGTGAGAGACCATGTGGTAAAAGCCAAAATATGTGAGTGAGAGACCATGTGGTAAAAGCCAAAATATGTGAGTGAGAGACCATGTGGTAAAAGCCAAAATATGTGAGTGAGAGACCATGTGGTAAAAGCCTCAGGCATGTTGCTGGTGAAAGCAGATTCTGCTGAAAACCGCCACACACACGTGCAGCATTTCTCTCTTCTGTGTCACAGTTTCCTGAGCTCCCTCCACTAACAACATCAACCCTTGGAGCCCTGGTTCCTGCGGTGAGTCCTGGTTCCCCCTTGCACTGCAAGTAACCCGGTTAGAGAGGCAGCGTCCAGGGCAGGGGAGGTCCCCCTGTCTCTTCCTCCTCAGAGGCATCATCTCAGATGTCCCATGGACTTGAACGAGCTCTGACTTAGGTCCAAAACTGGAAATCACGGCAGGCCAGAGCCCAGTTTGTCACCCCATCCTCTGCAGCTCTAGGGTCACAGGTGAGCCTTGCAGCTGCCCCGTCTGCCTGGATGCGGGGCTGTCTGTGGTCCTCCAACCGGGATGAGATGCTCTCAGCGAGACTCAGGGCGTCCACGGGGCTGAGCGCACAGCTAGCTTGACTTCACTTCAGCCTGTTGAGATACAGACTCGTTGGACCGGAGCAATTCAGGATCAGATCTGCCCCCTGAGAGCAGCACGGTGCTAATGCTGCCGGAGTAGGCAGCCTGCTCTCTGGCTCCTGGTTACTCATTTGTTCTGCCTGGTCCAGTGTCAGCACTGCTTGTGCTCCTGCCAGCAGAAACTTTCCACCTTTGGATGTTGACAGGTTTTTGAGGCGTACCCCGAGTCACGTGAATTGCTGCTGAAAATTGCAGTCCCTGAAGCACCTGTGGTAACCTTAAAGAAAAATAAAGGTGTGATCCAGCTCATGGCTACAGCAGAGGTGATGGTGATCCACCCAGATGATGTCCAGAGGTCTCTCTGCCTTCTGAATATTGTATGTATGAAGGAACAACCCATGCAGAAATTCCTCCTGCAGTTTCCCCCTCCCCACACAGCAGGTGTGGGGGTGCCAGTAGATGGGATCTGCACCTGATGTGACACAGCTGGGCTGCAGGCTTGGGCTTGGGCAAGGGCTGGAGGAGCCACCCCTGCCCTGACCTCTCTGTTTGACCGCAGAACACCTCCTTGCTGGCCCAGTTTTCGGTTGAGGACAACAAACTGAAGATCGGCGTCAGCCTGGAGAAGTAGGACACTGGTCTTCATCTGGGGGGTGGCCAGGGGTGGCCATGGACGTGGGATCTCCTGGGCTGTGCGACGATGAGGGCATCGACAGCACTGGGTCAGCAGAGGAACTGCTTGGATCTTACTCACCTCTGCTTCCTTCTGCAGGGCTGATCTCTCCTTGGCGTCTTCGTCCGTTGGTGGTTTTGATGTAAGAACACGAGCAGCCTCAGCAACACGCGAAATCCATTGCAGAAAGCAAAGTGCTGATAGATATTGGCTCAGGAGAAATAAGGGCCAATTATGGTGTAACGGTTGTGTTGTATTTTTAATAGCACCTTTCTTTCACCTCTGGGGATGGATTTTCTTTTCATGGATGATCCATGAGCAATTTTCAGAAAAAATCCCCACTGAGAGGGAGAGGTTTGGGTCCTCGGTGGACCGCAGGACACCCCGCACATGCCCACGACGTCCCCTCGGGATGCGCCTGGGGAGGCTCATCCCTGTGCCTCATAGGGGACGACGGCAAAAGTCGGGAGGAATCCCGGGCTCTCCTGTCGCAGGATACTTGCAGATAGAGCACGTTTGATGCAGACAGCTTTAATGCCAGCGGGAAGAGGCCTGTGGAATGGCATTATTTTGGGACTAAAAATTGACCATAGAATGCTTAAAGTCCAATTTCTGTGAAATTAGGAGTTTGCATTAGATGGGTGTGGAGCTGGAGCACCAAGGGTTCAGGTTGGGTTTAGCTGGTGTGAACGGAGCATCCCCACATGCCTGAGGACAGGGTGAGGCTGCGCTGACCACGGGACTGGGACCAGCAGTGTCACTAAGCGACCCCTCTCCTTGTTGCAGGTCTCACTCCTGGAGATGCTCGTTGACCAGATTTTCGATGTTGCCTTCCTGCCTGCAATGAACAGTAAGGGAGCTCTTATGCCTCATCCACATATTTGTTTGTGCTAGACTGTAGCCAAGACACCAAATTTGTGCAGGTGTAGTTTACCTCGCCGTACAGAACAGGAGCCAGTGGGACTGACCTGCACTGATGGGGGGGGGTGTTTCAGGTGGCAGCGTTTTGCCGGGAGGTGAACCCACATGTCACGAAACAGGGGCCCCGCAGCCCCCTCCGTGGGGCTGCTCACCACCTGCCGCTTTGCTGGCAGGAGCAAATGACAATATGTTTTGTCGACGCACTAAGTCCCACAACACAAAGCCTTTCTGGAGAGCCTTGCACTCGCGGAGGGAGGGGTTTGCACACAGGGAGGATGGAGTTGGGGACCAAGCCCCGGGCAGAAGCTCGGCAGCAACCCCCTCCTTCCGCGGCACTAAGCTGGGCTGGCTTGTGACCCGCAGGCGTGCTGGGAGTGGGGGTTCCCCTCCCGAGGCTGCTGAACATCGACTTCACCAGTGCGGACATTGATGTCATGGAAGTAAGTGCTCAGGCGTTCCCTGAGGTTCTTCTGCCGGCACCTCAGCTCTGCTCCGGAGCAAAGGCCGTGCCCGTTGCTTGCACGGAGGATGTTCAGAGGGAAGGTAACCCATCTGCTTCACCAGGATCTCATCGTGCTGTCGGCATGAGCTGGGGATGCCGGGCTGGGAAGGGTCCCCTGGTTTTCCCTGTCTGGCCCCGGAGGGATGGGAGCCCAGCCTGCCTGAAGGATGCTCCACCGCATTTCTCTTCATACCTAACACAGCAAAAGAGCAGCTTGGTCTTTTCCATGCGAATGTTGCATCCCACCTACATTGCTTGGAACAGAAGGAACACACGTGGTTTTTGCCTCCAGATGTTGTGTTTTGGACTCTTTCGTGGATGCTCGGAAGGTCGCGGGTGTATTTTGCATTCTCATGCTTGGGTTTAATAAAGGCCAGTCCTCTCTGCAGCCACAGCGGGTGCTCAAGCCTGCGGGGGTGGCCAGCTCTGGTGAACCCCAGGGGCTCAGGACAGACCCCGCTGTGCTGGGGACCCCAGCCCCTGTGGGTGGGAGGGCTGCAGCCCCCTGCCCGGTTGCCCAGCCCCGGCTCTGCCCACCCGACACCCAGCTCAGGGTGGGCAGAGAGCTGTCTGCCGGCAAACACTGCATTAGATCCAGATATGTTGGCCTCTTTTCAGGGCCTGGACCCAAAGCTGTGGGGTCTTTTGTTTATCTTGAAGACCCCTCACGCCATCACCTGCCCCGGGCTTTACCGTGGCTTTGTCCTGGGAGCGCTCGGGGAGCCCAGCGAGCTCCCCTGGCCCACGAGCAGGGGTCTGAGCGGTCATGCCGCATGGCTGGGGTAATTCATCCATCGATGCCTGTGAACTCTGCATGAACTGCACAGTTTATTTATGCACAGGCTCTTTCTTGCAGTTCAGGTGCCTGTTGAAGCAATGAAGCTTTTGCTAATTTAAGGCTCTAAAGCCATCGATTGCTCCTGGGGTGAAAGGGAATATCTGGGACGGCTGTAATATTGCTGCCTTTGAGACTGTCCTGCCCTTGTCCAGTCTAGATCCACCCTGAAAACCACCTGAAACCTCAGACTCAGGTTTTTCCTGTCATCTTTCATGCTCCTTTTCCCTTCCCCTCTGTATTTATTTCCCTGTTTTCTTTTGTTTGTTGTCTCTCAAGCCTCCTTTAAACTGCCAAGATCTTTCTTGGAGGCACAAGCCGTCTCCTGTGTACCTCTGGGTGACAGGCAGCTTTCACGGCACAGCTGGCATGCCGTAAATACACATACTCTTTAGTTTGTGATAACTTTTTTTTTTAATCAATCAGCCTTGTGCTGTTTCTGTACATAATTTGCTCGTTGGGAGGTAATTGCTCACCTCTCACTGTCCTCAGACCCTTGTGCCCTGCTGAATATGATGGAGCATACCCTGGAGAGGAACTGCCCCAAACCTTCCCTGGGATCCTCTGCTCAGCCAGAGACCCAGGAGCATCCCCAGGCCCCTGTGGCATCCCCCTTCGCACTGGCTGCTCTGAGGTTGTCTCATAGGAACCGTGATGCTCAGGGGATGGTCTGGGGTCTGCGTGTCCCATGGAAATTCGGAGATGCAGAGAGGAGAGGGAGGAGAGCGAGGGATCACAGATTTCCACCTCTCTGCCTTGGCAGTGAGGGCTGCCCTGGGCTGGACACCACTGCTGCTGTAGCTGCGAGCTGGTACCCACTACTGTCTGCAAAGCACAGCACCATCTGCACCGCAGCCGTGGCCACGCCGGCCACCCGCGGCACACACGGTTCTGGTGACTGCCCTTGTAGCGGGTTCTGGGGCTTTCAGCGGGGCTGGGAGTGCAGGGAGGATTTGCAGCTGGGGGCTGTCGGGTGCCAGCACCCTCCTGGCTCCGCTCTGGGCCGCTTTGGGAGAGCAAAGCGAGAGAGACACCGAGTTGCTGTGAGCGGCAACAGCCACCTGTGCCACAGCCTGTGTCCCTACCATGGCCATGGCCAGCCACGCTGGGCCATGTGGAAGGAGCTGCGTGGCGCTGGGCTGGATGGGACCTGATCCAGAGCATCCCTTGCCTGGGGACGTGAGCCCCTGCCCCAGCACCCAGGGGCTGCGGGGGGGCTGCCTTGCTGGACCCTCGGCCCCGGCGCAGCTGCCCCAGGCATGCGCTGTCTTGAAAGTCAGAGCGGGCAGGAGGGGACAAGCCCCGAGGAGCGGGGTGGCAGTGTGCCCTGGCCAGGCAGGAGGGCTGGTGGGTACCGCACCCAGCCCGAGGGAAGGGGGTGAGCCACTGGGCTTGGTGGGTGCTGCTGGCCACGGCCCGGCGCTGCTACGTGAGCATTCGGGGTCAGGCTGGCGCAGGGTTCACACTTCACAGCCAGCGAAGAGGAACTATTCTTGCTTCATCCTTCCCTGGACTTTCCTTGTTCCTGCAGTTCGGGTATATAAGAGCAGCTCCTGCCAGCTGCTGCTGAGAGGCCGTGGGCAGCTGCACTGCAACATCAAAGGGCTCCAGGTAAGTGGCACTAAGGTACCATGGCCACAGAGCGCCTGTTCCCATTAGACTACTTACAGCAAAGTGTAACTCGGCTTTAAAAGCAAGAATTTTAATGATGTTTTCCTTTGATTTCTGTAGCAGCATTTAATCATTTATGAAAATTTATTTTTGAAGCTAGTAGAGCTCTCCCTTGTCAAATTCCATGTTTATTTTTGTTGTTAAGTTTGTTATCATGACTAAGCTAGCAGAAATGACTAGGATTTTTTTCATGATCTTGGTGACCAAAATTCAGAACGATTTTCAGCTTATCAGATCTCATCTCAGCTGGTATAAAATAAGCATTTATCGGCAAAGCCATACATGCGTTTTGCATGTACAAGATGTTCAGCTCGCTTAAATGCGTGTGACCAAGGAGGTACCAACCTGATAGATACCATTAATAACGGCAGAGACAGTTGTCTACTTTGTCACGTATTCTCTCTAAGAGCTCTTCTAAAAGACCTGAAAACCATTTTGGCATCCTTTTACAATGCTACACACGTCTTGCAGAGACCCTCCAACAAATCCCACTGATTTTATTTGACACGATTTTCAATGGAAGCTGCTCAAGCCTCTGTCTTTCTCTCCTGTTCAATAATCACAGCTACAGGAGCTGTGCATCATTACATGCTGATCAAAGGGAAAATGTAAAAGACAGTCTAGTGAATTAAAGTCTAATTTAATTGTGCCAAAAACTCATAGAGGGATTCTCTCCTGTTCAATAATCACAGCTACAGGAGCTGTGCATCATTACATGCTGATCAAAGGGAAAATGTAAAAGACAGTCTAGTGAATTAAAGTCTAATTTAATTGTGCCAAAAACTGTCATAGAGGGATTTTTTTTTTTTTTAAAGTACCTGGAACAGATAAAGAAGTTGTTCAGTCTGACCTAAATAATGTTATTTCTCAGTGCTGAACCTCAAATCTGCAGACTGTACACTGTTTTTCTCAGAAGAGACAAGCCGGGGTGTCCGACCCGGGACGTGGGCTGTGCAGGCGGGTGCTCCCTTAAACCGGGACCTTGTGGTTCCAGTCCCAGTCCTTAACCTGGGACTTCAGCAGGTGCCTTTTTTCATTTCTTTGCAAACACCTTTCTGTGCATAAACAAACACTCCACAACATTGATTGCAACCCCAAGAAGTCCAGCTCGTGCGGGAACATGAGGTCCTTGACGGTGCTTTCTTTTGACTAGAGGCAGATCAAATACAGGGAAAGTGGACTCTTTTCCATAGCCTGGATGGAGCAAGATGAGAAAAACAAACAACCTGCCCATGGAAAAGTAACTCTGATTTTGGCTGCGCTTTGATCTTTAATAACACAAGGTGTTCCTCATAACGGGGAGAAGGACACGACTGTGACACAGACCATTTTTTATCCAGCTGTGCCCCTTTGAGTGTCCTTCTTTCAGGGCCATTTCAGAGTGGTTGGAAGCCATCCATCTCGTTCGGTACAAGGTCCTCCTGCCTCATCTCCATTCCTCTTGTTCTCTTTAAAATGGCATTTTGTTCCTGCAAGCTTCCCTGAGATGTCAGGCACCCAGCTCTGCAGCGGGGTAGCCCAGCCAGGCATGGAGACATCAATGACTCTGGAGGAGCACGTCACCGTGCTTCAGTTGCTCCCTGATAGCCAGAAGCAGTTTGACCTTTCTGGGTGGGAAAAGGGTGCTGTGGGTCCAGGTTGGTCCCTTGGGGCTGGGGGACGATGCCTGGTGCCTGCATGTCCAGGGGGGACCTGCCCCACCGCCCTGGGGCAGCACACGTGAAGGATGGAGAGCTGGACCGGTGCCCAGGCTGCTGATTCCCGCACAGTGGGGCTGGTGCTTGGGCTGATGTGGGTCTCTCCGCAGGTGCTGGGACCAGACATGCTGCCTTTCTGGTGTTTCGTCCTCCTTGGGGGCCTCCTGCCCCCGTCCCAGGGCCTCCTCAACCTGGGCAGTGTCCTTGGGCTGGGCCCAGCGCAACCCAAAGATGGTGAGCTCAGAGGTTTTCCATGTTTCCCATGGGAGCGTCGTGGCACAGGTGGCCACACCTGCCTTGGTCCCGGTGTGTCCTGTGTCACGTCAGGCTCTTGGAGCGTCCCTCTGCTCATCAGGGACCTGCCTCCTGGCAGGCTCGGCTCCATGGGGAACCCAACTTTGTGCAAGGATGCTCAGAGTTCCCCATGAGACCTCACGAGCAGGTCAACCTAACGTAGCTGATCCAATGTTTCTTGTCAATGAAATCTTTCCAACAGTGGAAGTCTGATTAGTAACTGGGACTTCCTTGGTGCAGGTTTGCTTGGTGCTGGTCTTCTCGGCAGTGAAAGTCTCATCAGCAGAAAAGGTGGATCGCTTGGCACAGGCCTTCTTGGTGAAGGTGGGCTACTTGGTACTGGCCTCCTTGGCAGAGGAAGTCCGAGTGGAGAAGAAAGTGGAGGTCCCCTTGATGCAGGAAATGAATCCAGCAGATCTGGGGTCCTTGGCACAGGCCTCCTGGGTGAGGAAGGTCTACTTGGCATGGGTGTGCTTGGGAGAGGAGGGCTTCTTGGCAATGAAAACCAGAACAGTAATGAAGGTCTGACTTCTCCTGTTGCAGGAGGACAACCTGGCAGCAATGGTCTGCTTGGCACAGGCATCCTTGG